TCCAGTTTGGGTGAGCACAGCCAGCTCTCAGCTCTGTTACACAACTTTCACTTGCACAACCAAGCAGGACCAGTCACGTAAAAGCTCGGTGAGAAGGGGGTTTCTCCCATCCTTCCCCGTGTTCCTCAAGGGTGACAAAAAGCCATTAAAACAAGCCCAAGCTGCAGACACTGAGATCAACCCCTGCCAGCAAACTACACTCACACTGATTTATCCCAGAGGACAGGGGTCAGGTAAGTGGGGGTTTCTCGGGTTTGATTTTATCAATATTGTGTGGTTTTGCAGAGTTGTCTTTTATGCCATCCAATATAAAAGTCCAACCTCAATAACTTTGCATAACTGCACAATATTGTAAAAGTGTCTGCTTACCTGACCCCACATAACTAGGAACTTTTGTTTCAGGTGGGATGCTGCCAGCATAGTGGATGTTAGGAAATCAGTTGGAACAGAAGGTCTGAGGTGGGGCTGGATGCTACAAGACAAAAATATTTTGTTGTATTTGCGCTACTCATTAACGGGGACATAACTGGGACATTCAAGGAGCAGGTGTGAGAGTACCGAGGCTCACTCAAAATCAAATTCCAAGGGCTTTAGAAACATGGAAAGAGCATCAGCAGGTGTTTTGTAGTTAAAATTCCAACTTTCACGAACACCTTGCTGTAAGGAGACAGGTGTTAAAAACCCCAGAGTGGTTTGGGTTGGAAGAGAAATTAAGGATCATCCAGTGCCACCCCCCTGCCACGGGCAGGGGCACCTTCCACTGTCCCGGGCTGCTGCAAGCCCCGACCTGGCCTGGGAAACTTCCAGGGATCCAGGGGCAGCCACAACTGAAGCTATAAATAACATTTACTCCATGAACGAGCCAGATATCGAGGTTTGCCACTTAAACCCACACTCTGCCGACAGCAAGACGAACCCCCCCGCCCCGCCGCGCCACGGCCGCGTTCCTGGGCACGCGTTAATAATTTAACAGGCGGCTGTCAGGAAATGAACATTCCTGTAATTAAAGGGGGGGGGAAAGAAGGTTTAAAGCCCCGACTTCCAGAAGCCCGTGCGGCCGCCCCGGAGCGGGTGTGGGTCCCTCCCGGATCGCCCCCGGGCCTCACCCTGGTGGTTGAAGAGCCTCCATATCCTGGTGAAGAGGATCCCCATCCTCGGCCGGGCGCTCCGGGCCTCGCCGGCCGCGGCTCTGCGGGGCCGCGGGCGCTCAGGGCCCGGCGCAGCGCCCCGAGTGCCGGCTGGGGCCACGCCGGGGCCGCTGCCGCTCGGACATCGCCGCGGGGTCGGGACGGGGCTCGGGATGGGGGTCGGCAGTGGCAGCGGGGCGGCAGCGCCGGCGGCGGCAGCGGCGAGAGCGGCGGGAGCGGAGCAGCGCCCGCGGCCGCCTCACGGACGGGCCGGGCCGGGCCGGGCGCGCTGCGCTGACGCGCGGGGGCGGCACCGCGGCCGCCATTACACGGCACCGCCTCAGCGCGCCCGGCAGCGCGGGCTGCGGGACCCGACAGCCTGACAGGGCTCCGGGATCCGAACAGCCAGACAGGGCTGCGGGACCCGACAGCCTGACAGGGCTGCGGGATCCGAACAGCCAGACAGGGCTGCGGGATCCGAACAGCCAGACAGGGCTGCGGGACCCGAACAGCCAGAGAGGGCTCCGGGATCCGAACAGCCCACCGGGGCTCCGGGCCGGAGGGAGCAGAGCCCGCAGCCACCGAGTGCTGTGGGTGTGAGGCAGCCCGGAGCCCATCCCGGACCACCCCCCTGCCACGGGCACCTCCCGCTTCACAGCTGCTCCGGTGACCGTGCCAGGATCTCGCTGCCCTCACAGCGAGGGATTTCTCTCCAGTACCGCATCGAAATTACCCCTTCCCTTCAGGTTTAGACCGTTCCTCCATGTCCTGGCCCTCCATCCCTTGTCTCCAGTCCCTCTCCAGCTCTCCTGGAGCCCCTTCAGGCCCTGCAAGGGGCTCTGAGCTCTCCCCCGATCCTTCCCTTCTCCAGGGGAACATTCCCAGCTCTCCCTGGATCCTTCCCTTCTCCAGGGGAACATTCCCAGCTCTCCCTCGATCCTTCCCTTCTCCAGGGGAACATTCCCAGATCTCCCTGGATCCTTCCCTTCTCCAGGGGAACATTCCCAGCTCTCCCAGCCTGTCTGCAGTCCATGAAGAAACTATGTTCACTTTGCCCTACTAAAACTTGGTGCTCTGAGGAAAACCTGGCAATAACGTGGGTGAAGTTGCTCCCCAGCAGCTGGGGCTGAGTTTGCATAAGGGTTGTGTTTTCAGTACTGGAATGGGCTTTACGATCTGCCCAGAGCCTTCACTGAGATAAATTCCCATCCAAACCCTCCACTGGGTTTAAATCCTCAGGTATTTGAAAATCCCAGACAACAATTAGGTTGTGCACGGCTGTGTCCTGCCTGAGACAAGGCATGGGGTGTTTGCCCTCTCACTCGTCCTGTCCCTGACAATTCCTTCCCCTTCCATGGCAGGGACACCTTCCACTGTCCCAGGCTGCTCCAAGCCCTCTCCAGCCTGGCCTTGGGCACTGCCAGGGATGGGACATAGAATCTCCTTTCTTATTCCAGAGGTTTTACATCTTTCCTTCAAGCAGCTTTTATTCCCACAGCAGCATCTTGCATTTAATTTTCCCTGCTGGTCCGGAACCAAAGCAGCAAGGCCAGAATAATCTCCGATTTTCTATGTCCAGAGATTTGTTGTGTTTCCTGTTGTTCTGGAGGGGAATTTATGGCCCTGACCAGTTTAGGAAGAGAAATGTGATAATCCAGTGTGCCAGTCCATGGCGGTGTCGCAGCTGTGGGTCCTGGCACCGTGTGTAACCCGCAGGGAAACAGCAGCTCCTCCGGTGTAAAACATTCCACAAGTTCAGCATCCAGCCTGCAATGGCATTAATTATTCATTAGCTGTCAATTATCCCCCTTGCTGCCGGTCCTCAGCTTGGAATTTCAGAAGCACTCGGGGGTTTCTGTTCTCAGCTCTCCTGGGCTCAGGGCAGGGTTCGGTGGCTGTGGGAGAGCTACCAAAATTCAATTAAACAATTTATTCTGATTATTTAAATAAAAATCTCCGAGGTTCCCCTCCATGTCATTTGCTCGGGTTTTTTTCCTGGTTGAACCTGGATCGTACTGCTGGTTTTTACAGGCTAAGCTGAGCTTCCAATGCTGCTGGAAGCTTTCTAGGAAAGCATTCCAGTGGGCAGGGCTGGTACAGCCTCGCAATTCCCTCCTGGAAATCTGGGAGGGCTTTTTCGGGTCGTGTACGTTTTGTTCCAGGCAGCTGTAACACAGACAGGGTCAGGCTGGCTGTGCTGGGGAAGTGCTTCGGATGCCGATTTCACCATGGAAATGCTTCTGTGCAGAAAAAACCCGAACAGAGAGAATAGGGAATGGTTTAGGTTGGAAAAGGCTTCCAAGATATTTGAGTCCATTCCCCTTGTACTGCCCCACGTCCCCAAGAAATCCCTCCAGGGATGGGGACTCCACCTGAGCACCCTTTCCATGAAGGAATTGTCCCAAAAATCCAACCTGAGCTCTCTCGTCCAGCCTGAGGAGTCAGGGAATTCCAGAGAGGGAAAAGATCCCTCGGGATCCTCCTTTGCTCCAGCCTGAGCCCCTTCCCAGCTCCCTCAGCAATTCTCCAGCCCCTTCCCAGCTCCCTCAGGAATTCTCCAGCCCCTTCCCCAGGACACAGACAACTTAAGCAGCTTAAGTAATTTTAACCCCTAGCATTGTATGAAAACACACAAAAGGCATTTTTTTTCCTCTCAATTATATTTATTTGAAAACCCTTGTGCTTTTCATTAACAGTTTAGATGAAAACTCACGTGTTGAGATCTGATTTTGAACACACAGCCAAGAAAACCTCGTTAAACAGAATTTTAAGCCTTTAAAGATCTGTCAGAGGGGTGTAAATGCACCGTGCAGCTCACCTGGCCAATGTGCTCCTGTCCCTCCAAGGCAGGGTTTGGGTGCTCACAGCATCTCTGGGAGGCTGCTGGCTCCTGCTTCTCATTTTTGGGAAGTGGAGGCTGGAACTCTCTGCCAGGGGCAGCATCTCCCAGTGCTTTCAGTTCTCCAAGACACCATCAATGGCTGGAGGTGGCACTCTGGGCTGGTGACAAGGTGGGGATCACTCATGGAATTCTTTTCCAACCTTCGCCATTCTGTGATAAACTATTAATTATCTTTTATTAATTATCCGATCCTTCATCCCTCCCATCATTCTGCTCCTTGTTCCTGCCTTGATCCCACCAAGGACCAGCTCCAAAGCCCTGAATTCCCAAGAATCCTTCAAAGGAGCAGTTGGCTGCAAGTCCCTCATTCCCTGCTGGATCAGCAGGAATTATCTGTATTTTTGTACTTCTGGGTCGCAGCTATTTAAGAGCAGATCGTTACAAAAATAAACATCATTTATTTCACAGAGCAGATGCATCTCCTTCTTCAGAACCTCATTAAATTTTCCTAAAAATGTAACACGTGAGGCTGCTGCCAAAAACTATTGGCAAACGACAAAAATGCCAAAAGACTCCAGGTTTCTCCTGACTCTCCTGAGCATTTTCCCAATCTTAGTGCAGGACACAAAGAGACCGGACAGACTTTTAAACTCTTGGTAGTTTTGTTCATTTATTGTAGAAAAGTTATTGTAATGCAGTTCATCTTTGTACATCTAAATTCCAGAAAACGAATCCATAGAAATGAGGATACTATGGGCATGCAGTCTGCATGATCCTGGTCACAAAAATAACACCACTTTTTAATTTTTTTTTTTTTTTTTAAATTTATTTTCTTTTTTTAAATTTTTGTAGTTTTCTTTGAAAGCCACTAAAAGCAGAGGGAGAGCAGAGCATGCACCACTGTACACATTGCATAGTATATGGTACCCACATGCCTGGTCAGGTGCTACACACACAGGGTCTAGAGGGCAAAACAAAGGGAAAATCAGCAGAAAACACAAATTTGGGGTGGCTCTGTCCCAGTAAAGGCAGAAATGTCTTCACCAGTGCGGCTCTGAGCTGGCTCCCAGCGAGGCAGCGCTGCCAGGCTCTCCCTGGGAACCAGCTGGGCTGAGAAACAGAGATTTCCTGGGATCTGAGAAGCCCAAGGTCTGGAGTTTGCAGTTGGAATTGCTGATCCCAGCTTTCTCCCTGGCTGCACCAGGAGGGAATCCATCAGCTCTATCCCAATCCCAAACACATTCCTTAACCTCAGCTTCCCTCCTTGGGCATTTGGGGTGCTGTGACTCTTCCCTCCCCCCTCTCCAACCCCACAAACATTTACTGGGAGCGTTTCACTCCCGACCTCGGGCTGCTGGTGGATTCACCAGTCACATCCCAGATCTACACATTGGCCAAAATTAAAGTTATTAATGTGATTTCAGCTTCCAGGAGGAAATCAGCAGAAATGAATGCAGTGGGCTCTGTGATTTGAAAAGATTCTTTTTGCTGTCATTAATTAATTAATATGGAAGGGATACGAGTTATTGAAAAATCAATCCCATGTGCAAAATGCCAAAATCAACTGCTGAAGTATCAGGCAGCGAGTAAACAGATCAAAAATGCAATAAATCCACTGATGCTGGATCAGAAATCTCCCCCTTGGTTCCAAGAACACGATGCCAGATGCAGGAGTGGAATTATTGTAAATTTGTGCTATAACAAATGTGCTTCTTTTCCCTTGCTCTGTTTTCATGCCATTGGCAAAAGAGAGAATGTTGAGCTCTGTGGATTCTCTGCTGCAGAGCAGATTTAACTGGGGATGTCACAGTTAATTACAGTTAATTGCAGTTTGGTTTTCAGGCAATATTGATAAGGCAGGGGATGATCAGGAGGTGCCATTCCTGGGCAGACCTTGCTCTTGGACAAGACAGGAGCTGGGTGTCATTGCCAAGGAATTTGGTTTCCCAAATTCCCGAGGCAGATCCATAAATCCTCCTCAGACCCAGCCAAGGCTGCTCCCAGTTTCAAAGGAATAAAGGAGTGACACTCATTAACATTTGAAATTATTTCCACCTCCTCCCCAAATTCTCTGGATGGATTTAATCACAATATTTCTCCTGACTTCTTGAGTGGATTGGATTCCACACACAATGAAAGAAATCTGAAATTTCACTCCTAAGTAGCATTTTCACCTCTGAGTTAATTCCTTACATATATTTTACAACTTTATTAAAATTTCCTTTTCTTTTTAAAGATACACCTTTTGCTTTTCTATATAAAATAAACTGGGCTTGGCAACAAACTCACCAAGGTTATTCAAATGACTCTTAAATAATGACACCACACTCTCTTTTAGGATCATTTTAACTCCATTCCCCCAGAGTTAAGCTTGGCTGCATTACAGGATCCTGCAGCCTTTGCAGGGCTAATATTAACTAATAATAACTAATAATAACTCCAACAAAATACATGGCACCATGGATCCAAACCTGGGCTGGCACCAACAGGTGTAACACAACTTGATTTTAAAATTCACTTTTTTAGGAGCAAACCCAGGTTTGTACAAATGGCATTTTGTAAAATAGGCATCTGATTTTGTCATGTGTAGTCTCCAATTATTTTGCCTTAAAAAAAAAATTAAAAAATCAGGAATGTGGGATGAAGGACAGGTTTCAGAAGTACTGAACTTGTGAAAGAAAATACAGCAGAGGACACATTTAATGGATTATTAAAGAAAAAAGCAGTGCCAGAACCCCTGACTTACCCAAATCAGTGCGCTGTGAACAACACGAATGACAAAATTATTTTAGAATGGTGAAGTCAGTAAACACAGGAGAGTCTGGATGCTCCAGGGAATTCTGTGGTGTTGAGACCAAGCTGAATTCAAAAGATTTGGCATCAAACTGAAGTTACAAATATCAGCAGCTGTGAGTTGCACATCCCATGGGAGAAATGTTTGGCATCAGGAAAAGAATCTGTACATGTTAAATACAACTCCAAGGAGAAAGCATTTGAAATTCAAAGGTTAACAATTAAAAGAATTGATTCCCAAAGATAAGAATGTGCTGAATTTTCTCTTTAGAGATTCTTATTACAACCTTCTTTATTGGTTAAATCCTTGTTAATTCCCAAGTGTCTGAATGAGAAGCTCGGATAACAAGAGAACTTAAAAAAAATCCCTATTTTAGAAACATTTCTAAACCCTCTGTCTCTGCCAGAGCTCAGAACAGAGCTCTGGTCTTTAGTATTCTTTTAATAACAAGAAATGATGTGAGGACTGGAGAATGAGGCTGGATTGCTTCAGTCAGGAACACATGAACTCCACAATTTCAACTAAACCCCAACAGATCCCACTGGGAATTCCCAATCCCGATCCTCAGCACAGCTTTCACTCCTTACCGTGTCCTGAACAGAAATCCCTTTTTCAAACAAAGACTGCCCACAGTATCTGCAATAAATGAAGAGTCTCCCAGCACAGTTGGTGTATTTATACTTAAAAAATATCTCTTTTTAAAGAATTAAACACCCCCAGCAAGGAGGGAGATCTGCAGGGCCCCGGCTCCTTTTATTACAAGGGAATGGGGTCTGGGAGAAACTCAGGAGTCAGGGCAGCTCCACCCCATGGAATAAAGGACCTGAGGCCCAGCCCTGGCTTCCCTCACAAGTTTGTTTTTGTCAAACCAGAGATGTTCAGGTGATGGACTGTGCAGATGTGGTGCCTGGGGTGACATGGAAGACTTCAAACAAGGCTCTGAAAGGCTCTAGGAAATGGACCTGGTGCTTTGCAGCCACTGCAAATATGCAAATCTCCTCAAGCACTTAATGAGCTGATCCCTAATTTAGCACAGAACAAAGAGAAGCAGCTGCTGCCCAGGGTTCTACAGCTCCCCTGCAATCAGGACTTCAACAGGAGAGAAGAAGGGGTGGCCCAAGGGCTCCTTTCTCAGGCAGGTCCGTGTGCTGGACATGGAGAAAGGGCTGGAAAACTTCCTGGAGGATGCTCCACCGTGCTGCAGCACAGAACCCTGGAGGAGCTGCTGGTCCCACGCCAGGTCCTGCCACGTCCCCTCGGCCTCAGAGCTCCTCTGCAGCCAGAGGGAATGGTGCAGGATCAGGATCCACCCACAACTCTGGGAATCCAGTGGATTCCCATTATTTCCCTTGGTAACTGGTCCATTGGGATCACCCAGTGGTGCTGGAGCTGCCTGTTAAGCAGTGGGGTCATTAAAGTGATTAATTAATCAGGTGTCTGGCACCTTTGAATGCTGCTGGGGGTTTGGGTGTCCCACAAAGGACATGGATTGCTTTTCCCAGTAACTTCCAAGAGGATCATCAGACTCCTGGATGCTGGAAACACCACTGGTCTTTGCCAGCTGGTCCAGGAAGCAGAAGAAACCGGAATATTCCAGAAATTCCTTTAGTGCTACATGTTTTCAAAGCCTGGGTTCAGCAGGCTTTGGGAGGAAAACAAGCAAAAAAAAAGTTAATGATCCTTATTTTGGGGAATAAAAAAAAAAAGAAGTTGGGACACGAAGCTGCATAAACAAATTCACGTTCAGCACGATTGTGTCAAATCCAGGGAATGTGTGAGGTGGGAAATTTTGGGAGGCTCTGCTGGAAGATGTCAGTGGTTGTACAAAACGGGCAATGGGGGTCAATTTTCAATCCCATGGCATCTAAGGCTTCACTGATGGTGTAAAACACAAGGTGCAACCACAGGAATTCATCTCTTGGAAGGAACTCAGGACTCAGTAGGTGAAAGAAATGGTTGGTAGGAAGTAAGGCAGCAATATCTCCAAGGATTTATCAGAGCTCTTGGAATCCAAAGCTTGGAATCAGCTCTACCACTTCCCCGGGAGCAGATTTTTGTCTGACATTCCCTTTTTATTGCAATTCTGACCGAGATGTTGTTTGAAATGTTGGTCACCGATGATTGTTTAAGCCCACTCCCTTCCCCTTGGATTTCATGGCTGGAATGGATCTTGTGGAGAGTTCTTGTGCGCCGCTGGAATCGTCAGACATTCAGAGGTGCATTTGGGAAGATGGAACGTGTGGGCAGCGACTTGGGGTACTGGGATGAAGGTACTCTACACATGGGCTCAGAGATGGGGGGATTGCTTTCCACTGAAAAAGCAGGATAGAAAATGGGAGAAAAATCGGATGTCTCGATATTCCTGTTCCATTTTGGGAATTCTAGCTGTGTTCAGGTAAAAGAGTGAGGGGAAAAAAAAGACTATTCCCAACTTCCAAGCAAACAAACCATGGAGTTTGTTCCTTTTCCTGTCCCTATTTCCCATCTCCTGTCACATTTCCTCCCCGCTGGTCCCCACAAAACTCTCAGGACTGGCTGAACTCAAGAATCATTTGGCTGCAACATTCATGCCAGGCCTAAAAACAATTTCAAACTGGAAAGTGTTTTGAAACTGCTGCAATAGTTTGGGATATTTGGCACTCTCGAGAGTTGACATTTGGTTTGTCTGAAAAAGCCATTCTGGAAAGAAATCGTTAGAATAAATCCTTTCATTCTAACCTGAAATGGAAACTGAGCTCCCAGCAAACAAATACTGGAGCTGACTTTCTGACTCTCAGTGGTTTGTAATTTGCAGATTTTTCTTTGTACTTGGTTTGTTTGTTTTTTTCCCAACATGCTCACGTCGACTTTCCAGTCAATTCACCCAAATTCCAACAGGAATTGGTTTATAAATTGGTTCCAACTGGAACTGGTCATTTGGAATTTCCAGCACAGGAAATTATTTTATAAGTGCCTCAATAAGTACCCAAAATTACAAACGGATGTGTCTAATACCTAAGGACAAGAAAAAAATATGGCTATAAATGCAAATGCTGTATTAAACCCAAAAATAATCCCAAAAACAACCTCTATGATCGGGCAGAAACGGAAGGGCCGGGTTTGGGTTTTGCTGCCCCCTAATTAAACATCAATGACAGCAGAGTGCAACCGCAGTGTCACTGTCACACCTGCCAAATGAACGTGATCTAATTGTTATTTCTAGCTACGTTATGGCAAGGTACCAACGGATGGATCCTGGTTTTTTTCCCCAGTCCCCGGACTCAGAGCCGGTGCCGCGAGTCGTGGCTGTACCCGCCGGGGGAGCCGCGGTTCCGGTGGGGTTTGTACAAGTCCTGGTAGGGGTCAGAGTATTCCTCTTCCACGAGGGGATAGTGGTCTCGGCTGTGCTGGGAACTGGAAGACAAGCGGTTCCTGCTCTTCCGAGCCCTCTCGTTGTGGTAATTCTCGTCGGAGGTCACGAGGCTGCGGCGCTCGATGGGAGAGTTCTCCGCGGAGTGGGCGCCGTGCCTCCCGCGCTGGCTCTGCGGGGGCCAAACAAGGGCAGCGTTAATACCCCCGCACCCCGGGGCTGCCCCACCTCAGTCCTGCCCAGCCCCAGCTGAGGCCTTCCAGCAGCCTCATTCTCCAGCAAAGCCCGCCTGCTGCAGCGGGCCAGCTCCGCTTCCTCGCCCTGCTGAGTATTACATCGAGCATGAAAAGTGAGCTGATGTAGTCAGCATTTATCACTTTTCTCTGATCAGGAACGGAACAGTCACGCTGCTACTCTGCTTAGGGAATGTCTAAGCGTCCACTTTTGTGGTCTTGGAAAACATCTGAAGATGTTTGTTTGGGTTGTTTTTAAAGGTGCAGCTCTGAGCCTTATTTAAAACCCTTCCTAAGACCAAAGCAATGATGATGGGCTGCTCAGCGGGCAGCCAAGGGGAGACTAAAATCATTAGATAATAAATTCTTTCAACTGGAACACAGTATTTAAATATGTTGACAGAAAAAATCCCTTCCTAAGATAATTTATTAATTAGAAGCCTTTGCTCTCCTCATGTTCCCATAATGACAATGCCCATTTGTCACATGAACAAAATTAGTTCGTATTTTTTTTGCCAGTTAATAGCACAATGAAAAAATAGCCTAAAATAAGTATTTAGTTTGCTTTCATCACACATTAAACATCTCAGGAGTATCAGCACCCATGTCTCAGGACAAACTCCGTGCTGAAAGTCCAGCCCCTGCTCTCTGGGCTATAAAACCTTCCTCCTGCTGCTACAGCCTCTGCCTGGTGACTGTTTTCCTGAATAATTTATATCCAAGGCTGCTGTGGCCGGGGCAGGGATGGAGCAGGGGGTGTGTGGTTACAGCTCTGGGCTGGTGCTGCCAGGGAGACTCCTGGAGAGGGGCCCTGAGCCTCAGCCCAGATTCTGGGGAGAACTCCAGCCAGGGGACCCCCAATTCTCCTCAGAGCACCAGGTTGTGGTGGGGATTATGGCAAAGAGTTTCAGAAATTAAAGGCAGACTGGGAGAGCTGGGGACGTTCACCTGGAGAAGGCTCCAGGGAGAGCTCAGAGCCTGAAGGGGCTCCAGGAGAGCTGGAGAGGGACTGGGGACAAGGGATGGAGGGACAGGACCCAGGGGATGGCTCCCAGTGCCAGAGGGCAGGGATGGATGGGATATTGGGAGTTGGGAATTGTTCCCTGGGAGGGAGGTGAGGCCCTGGCACAGGGTGCCCAGAGCAGCTGTGGCTGCCCCTGGATCTCTGGAAGTGCCCAAGGCCGGGCTGGACGGGGCTTGGAGCAGCCTGGATGGGCTTTAAGGTCCCGTCCAATCCAAACCATTCTGGGGTTCCATGACTCCACAATGAATTATCCTCGTGTTTATCTGACACAAATGCAGTTTGGATGTACAAATCCCCTCACCAATTGTAGCTTTAACTCTGTGCTCACCCCTCTGCCTTCCCTGTGGTAATTCCCCTCTCCCCTCATCCTGCTGCTTTCCCTGGGCTGTGCTCACCCCAGTGCTGCCCAGGGACACACCTGGCGTGGTTACACCTGGCCCAGGTAACTTGTGATGCTGCTGTGTGACTGGAATGACTGCCTGCAGGAATGGAAACCCCAATCCCCTGCAGCCTGAGGAACACATCTCCCAAAAGCCGAGCTTTAGGCTTTCAGTCCATGCACTGAAATGGGCCAGGCTGTGTTTAGAGCTAACCAGTCACAGAGGGAAACGACTGGTTCTGAGGAGTGACAGAATCCCAGGATGCTTTGGATTGGAAAGGAAATTAAGGATCACCTAAAATTCCTTCCCCACCTTCCACTATCCCAGGCTGCTGCAAGCCCCAATGTCCAACCTGGCCTGGGACACTTCCAGGGATCCAGGGGCAGCCACAGCTGCTCAGAGCAATAAATATTTTTCTGTGCAAAGATCAAATTTACTCTTCCCCCTCAGCTCAGCATCGAGCTCTTCCCTCAAGGAAGGCAATTCCCAAGGATCAGGTGTGGCAGAGCCAGCACTGCCACCTGCTCCCTCTCTGACTTTCCTGGATCTGTGCCACAGAACGTGACCCTCATGACCTCTGTGAGTCAGGAGTTCAGTCAGGACTTTCAGTTCTCAATAAACCAAAGTCCAGGCCCCAGCCAGGGAAAAATGGGAGTCTCCCAAATGTGGATTTGGTGAAGCAGGGACAGCCTGTCCCAGCACACCTGTGTCAGGCTCTCTGCTACCTGAGCCTTTGCTTTTCAGTCCCTGAGGTACCAAGGGCATAAGGAATATAAAATCTTCCTGTATCACAAGCACCTTTGCTAGTTTAATTAGCCTGAGTGCCTTTTAATTACCACACACATCATCACAGCGAAAGCTGATGCGAATCCTTCAAAGGTTTGAATGAGTACAAAACCTCCTCGTGGATTAAGAGGGATGGTGGAAATCCTTCCTGTGAGACACCCATGGAAAACAGCAGGGCCTGAACCCTGGAGGCTCGGAAAACCTGCAGCCTCTGGCTGGGCATCGATCACTCCGGGAGAAATTTACCCCTCTGCAGAGCACCAGCACCATTGATCCCACCGAAACCCTTTGGAATTCGGGTGAAGTGGGGATTAAGTGATGCATACCTTCAGCCAGCCCACTGCACAGGGGTGATTTTCATCTTCAGTGTGAGTTTTCCCTAAGTAAATGGAGCAACATTTCACAGTTATTGCTGGTGTCCATTGATCAGAGAGAAATAAATGCCTGAAAAAAATTCTGTGGATACACCCAGTTCTCAAAATGAAACTGAAGAGGTGAAAGTTCTGCAGATGGTATTTTATTGGCATGAAGGGATGGAAAACTGAAACTTTAAGGCAAGTGGAAAATGGAAACAACAGTTTACATGTGCATGTTAATTATTAGTAACAGAACAGTGCTTGTGCATTCAGCCACTCGGGAGACAGCGACTTGCTGGTCCCAATAAAACCAAGCAGGGCTTTAGAAAGGTGAGTGCAGGAATTAAGCACCTTCAAGGAAGTGCAGCTCACTCAGAGCAAAACCAGCTGGATGTTAACTGAAAACACCAAACAACAGTCATTTCCTCCAAAACTGTTACCTGCTTCCAGACACTCCACAAGCAGAGCAGACGTTACATTTCCCAGGTGAATTATTCATTAAATGTCATTTGTTCAGTTCTATTTCTGACGTACATTAGCAAGTGACACTCCTGGAGTCCCACACACACTGAAACTTGCAGGATTTAAAGCTCCCTGCAATCCTGAGCCCCTCGAGCATTCCCAGTTATTAGCCCCAAACATTTCTGGTTTCAAACTTAATAAAGCACGTACTTCTCATTAAGGACTATTTACATGCCAGGATTGAAGTGTCAAAGTTCAGCCGAGTCTGAGCTATCCCTGTGGAAAAAAAGGGTCACAATTTTTTTCAACGGGTAAAAAAAAATAAAAATAATGTCTTTTATTCACACTCAAAGAACAAGCTTTTCCACCCAAGAGAGAATGCTTGGTGAAGTTACGAGGGTAGAATAAAAGGGATCATAACAGAGCTGACTCCTGGCTAGGAAATCCACGGTTATTCTACTTCCCACTAAAGGCAGAGCATTGCCAGTGTTTCAGCCCCGAGCTGGAGCTGGCAGCACGTCCCGGAGCGGGGCTGAGTGTGAGCACAGCCCCCGGCACGCTGAGCAAACCCAGCTGCCCTGCGCCTCCCGGGGCTGTTCCTACCTGCAGGCCGGAGATGGCGGCGGGGTACGGGGACAGGGCGCTGGATGCCAGGTTCCTGCCCAGCAGAGGGGTCATGGGCGCGGCGCTGGACGTGTGCGTGGCTCTCCAGTACGCCTCCAGGTACTCGGCCAGGTGCTCGCAGGCGTCCTCCAGCTGGTTCTCGTCCAGGATCACGTCAAACATGTCCTGGGCACAGGGACACAGCGCGGTCACGGCCGTGTGACACCGGGGACGCGGAGCTGGAGAGCCCTGCCCGTCACACTGAGGCTCGGGAGGGTTAAACAAACGGGAATCGGGGCTGGGGAGAGCTGCAAACACCGAGTGGAAAGGGGGATGGATTCACACCGAAACACAGCAGGGATGGATGGGATATTGGGAAGGAATTCCTGGCTGGGAGGGAGGTGAGGCCCTGGGATGGAATTCCCAGAGCAGCTGGGGCTGTGGGAGGTGTCCCTGCCATGGCAGGGGTGGCACGGATGAGGTTTGAGGTCCCTTCCAACCCAAACCATTCTGTGATTCCGTGGCTGGAAAAGAAAATGGTACAAGGGGGTTTAGAAGGTGACCAAGAGCCAAAGCTCTCAGGAGTCACTGGACACTGTCCCTGGGTGTTGCACGAGCCCCGTTTTGTTCCCAGGCAAACAAAACTCTTCAATTTCTTTATTTCTTTCCAGTGCTGATGCCTCTAAAGGCACTCCCACAGCAGTGAAGGCAGCAGGAAATTCCTGCCTCAGGGAATTCTCCAGACACCAGCTCCATCCCTGCCTGACCTCCAACCTGCCAGAACCAGCAGAGCCCCTCGAGAGAAGCACAACCCCATTTTCAGCAGCTCAACTTCTTGTCTCATCTCTCATCTTCACTCTGCAAAATACTGTGAGAACAGCACAGGAAATGGAAAATAAGTGCAGGTGCTGTGGGTGTAAAGGGCAACCAACACCAACCACAGGCTGCTCTCTTCCACCTGTTTTTACAGTTCTCAGAATAAGATTTAAAATAATAAAGCTTTTTTTTTTTCTTTTTTTCTCTTTTTAATTTATTCTCTCTTCTCAGCATGGCAGAGAAAAGCTTCCTCTTCTGCCAGCAAGGAGGAGTTTCCTTCTAATCAGAATATTTCTAACACTGCATCCCTTGGTCCAGTTCAGTGTTTATTGCTCTTCTTTTCCTCCTCTCCTTATTTACTGCTTTTACTCTTTTGCTATTCACCCACATGTTGATGCACCACACATTCCAGTCTATCACCCACTTGTGGAAGAAGTTATCAATTAAAACAATTAGAAATTGTAAAATTGTAAATTAGAAAATAAAAATAACGTGGTTTGCTTACGTATGCACTTAGCTTAGGAAAAGACTGGAATTAAACACTTGGGAGTGTAAATTGTTTTCTTAAATAAAGAATTAAACTGGATTCAGGATTCTTAACAACAACAACATTTCACTGCACAGTACCACTGGACTGGGGAGCCTCTCTGGAGGTCACCTGGAAGAGCTGCAGCCCTGGCAGGATCCTGACCCCAGTGTCTGACACAAAGGACAAATGACAGAGAATAAACCACTCAGGTTTTCTCTTCCATTTAACACTTCTGCTCATCCCTCAGCTGGGTTTGCTCTGTTTCCAATTATTTGGCAGGAAATCCTCTTTTGGGAGATCCCTGTTTGTGAGGGTCACGGAGTAAAGCAGCTCCTCTGCAAGATTTTCTTACATGCACAGAAGCTGCCACAGGAGCATTCCCAGCTCCTGGTGACTCTCTGGTGGTGAAAGAGGCCTTTCCTGAAGAGTAATCAGTGCCCACTGTCCTCTGCTATTTCTTTTGGTTTGCTGTAGAACCACTGTGTAGCTGAGAGGAGGAAGAATTTCAACTTGCAGGTATATCCTAATTATATCTGAATTAACCAGTGCTCTTTAATTCTGCTGCAGTGTAATTTCAGGTTGTGTCAAACAGACCAGAGGGGTTTGTACCCTCTCTCAGCATGGGCATGAATTCAGAAGTTTTAAAAAATAACAACCCTTTGATGAGCAGTGGATTTGTGTTTCCTTGAGGCCTGTCATGTTCCTGCAGAGAAGTTCCTGGAGTCCTGCAATATTCCCGGTGTCCTGCAGTGCCCAACGCCGGCTCGAGCAGCGGCAGGGGCACATTAGCAAGGAATTAATAATGAAAGCAGTTCCTGAGCTCAAATATGCCTGAAGAGACAGCTATTTTTACAGTGTCTAGACATGCAGCACCAGCTCATTCCTTATGGTTAGCTCTCAGCAAAGGAACAGAGTGAGGACTGCATCCTCTGCAAGGACCTTCCCTTTAAACAAACACTCCAAATTCTCCTCTTGCGGGAATCCGAGCTGCGATGAAGCAGGAGGGAGGGAGCAGTGCCTCTGCTCTTAGCAATGTACTTTTACTTAATTAAATCGTGGGCCAACTTTAATTTCAAGCCAAGTCAGACTGTCACCTCCCTGGGAGAGCTCAAAGTCAGCAATCACTTCCTTCCCATCACCGGTGCAAAGTGCTGAGCTGGTTTGTGAGCAGCTCCTGGGCAGGGCAGGGCAGAAACAGCCTCGGAGCAGGGCTGGGTTCAAGGCTGACACTGGGACTCTGACTTTGGAGAGGCTTTTCTGATCCAGGTGGGGCCTCACTGGATCACTTCAGTTGCCTTCAGCACTGGAATGCAACTCCAGAACTGGGTGTTGAGGCAGAGTTTAGTAAATCTGAGGATGGACAATCCAAGTGCCACAATGCTCCCAGTGCTGCACACGGATCATTTCATGGAATCTGGGAATCCAACCATTGGAAGGGACTTAAAAAATCATCTCATCCACCCCCTGCCATGGGCAGGGACACCTCCCACTATCCCAGGCTGCTCCAAGCCCTGTCCAAGCTGCCCTTGGACGCTTTCAGGGAGCCAGGGGCAGCCACAGCTGCTCTGGTGTCTTCTCTCATTTCAGCTGATGTGAGCGAAGTGAAGCTGAGTAAGAGGAAATCGCTAAAGCCACAAGAGAAGGCTGTGAAACTGCCCAGGGCTCTGTGTGCAGGTGCCAGAGGAAACACCTCTCACACAGGACAACGTGCAGAGGGCTGCTCTGTGTGTAAGCTCAGAGGAAACACCACAAACCACACAGGCCAGCTGCAACTCCAGCTCCTCGGCTCACGCCCATCAGGAGCTGGGAAGGGATGTGTTTTAGAGGGATCAGTTTGTTCTCCAGGACAGTCACAGTTCTGGTTGGGTTAGTGGGACCTGGATGGCTCACAGGAACAACCCAGCAGCATTTTAAGAGGTCACAACTCAGTAAAAAATTCCATGTGAGAAATGTAACACAGCTGAGCTCTCCAGAAGAGGCTGCCCAGAGAAGCTGTCACTGCCCTGGAACCCAGAGGGGTCTCTGCACTCCCATCCCAATATCCCACACAGATCCTACACAAAGCCACATCCAACTCCCACTGCCTCTGGCCCAGAATCCAGCTGTGGCTTTCAGAACTAAAAGCACATTTGAGCTGCCCTGTGCAAACCCCTGCAGAGCCTCTCCCAGGCCCCTGCCCATGAGCCCTGCAGGCCTCTGCTCCAGCAGCAGGAATCCAGGACTCCAGGGGAGGGCAGGATCTTTGATCAGGGGGTGGGAGAGCAGTGGCTGTGCTCTGCTGAGGTGACTGGGATGGCCTGCAGGATCAGGATTGGGGCTCACATGCCTGCACACACCCCTTTCCCTTCCCACACCCCGTGCACTGAGGGCAGGCCTTTGCAGCCTCCTCTCCAAACTCAGCCTTTGTCCCTCTGGGACCCGGAGCTCCACAAATGATGTAATTTGCTAATGAACAGATCTGTTGTCCCCTCCACGTCATTCCTGCCCTGTCACCCTGCCAAAGACCGAAACAAACCCAGATAACCAGGATGAAAGTCTGCAGCACTTTGTGTCTCACGAGTGCAGGGCAGTGTGAGCACCACGAGGGAGTGATAATGGATGGAGCCAGCTCTGCACAGGGATCAGCACAGCAGGAATCATCACAATTCCACAAAGCAGGAGTTCTTCAGCCTTTCCTCTGTACTTACTGGTGGGCATTGTGCAAGTTTATCAGCTGCCACCAACTGCACATTCAAGTGTTTGCTTTGTGACTTCCCTCTGGACTTGATCAGTCGCTGCAAAACCTGAGAGGAGGAAAGGGCAAAAGGTGAGTTTAAGGATCATTTATCTCCCTAAAGCTCAGCCTGACATCCCCCTGAGGGATTACCAAGCTCTCCATAATATATTGCCCTTGAATATCCCAAACCCCTGTGATAACCCCTCTGAGGACTGGGTACATTTCCCTCTGGATCATGTTTGAGCCCTTGAAAAATTTCAAATGCATTTTTGCTTTATCCTGCTTTAAGTCCTAAGTTATTTTTGACAATAGGGAAGCATGAAAATTATATTTATACAGAATTTTCTGGGTTGCTGGATGGACTGCAGCATACCAGCAGTACATTATGTCATTTTTTCCCCTTTTCAGGTGCAGATTCCACACTGCCCATTCCCACCCTGCCCTCCAGGTTCCTCCTGGATTTTAAGGTGAGCAATTACCTTTGGAGAGGACACCTTCACATGGACAATAATTGGTGCTAGAGATGTCTTGATAAGCTGTGCAGGGTGATTTATAGTGTCTGCATCCAGGACAACCAGCTGTAAGGACCTGGCCAGCTCGAAGATTCTTTCAATCTCACTCTGCACTTCAGCTGGGAAGGAAAACAAAGCAGGTGAAACCACTGAACCCCAGAGCACTGGGATAAAAATATCCTCACCCTCTTACTGTCACAGGCTCCACATGTGATTTGATGGCACTGCCATTAAATAATCTGTTACCTGTAGCTCTAGTGCAAGCAGCCACTCAGGATGGCAGGGATTTGGAATCTGGGTTGTATTTTTTTTACCAAACCCAACTCCTCTTAGTTCCTGGGGTGGTGTCCCAGAGAGCAGGGTGTTGGAATGCACGTGATGCACACAAATTTCCAGCCTTGTGCAAGAAAGAATCACACAATCACAGAACCATTAAGGTTGGAAAAGACCTCCAAAATCATGGAGTCCAAATAAAAATTCCTCAGGCCACTGTTCCCCAGCAGTCCTGACACTGAGGAGAGGGGCAGGACCCCAAGTCTCACAGCCAGACAGCCAAATTCAGCTGTAACTGCTCAACATTAAACACAAAACTGGTCCCAGGGTCAGGAATGACATTTCCTTGGCTGGACAAGTGAAAGCTCTTTGGCTCCTTGTGACGTGGAATTAAAAGCACAGGGCTGGGAAGGAGGAGGAGCTGTGAGGCCAACTCAGGATTACGCAGTAAAATGCTGTAGACACATTTAAATCTGCAGAACTGATGTGATCTTGGGAAAGGCTGGAGCTGAGCCAGGGGAGGGAGGGTCAGGTTGGATTTCAGGGCAAGGTTCTTCCCCCAGAGGTGCCCCAGGGAATGAGCACATTCCCAAGGCTGCCAGAGCTCCAGGAGCGTTTGGACAGCGTTGCCAGGGATGCCCAGGGTGGGATTTTGGGGTGTCTGTGCAGGGCCAGGAGAGGGATCCATGATCCTTGTGGGTCCCTTCCAGCTGAGATTCCATGATGAGGAAGGCTGGAAGCATGTCCCTTGCCTCCTGAGTGTAACCACAGCCTGAATTCAAGCTGTGGCACTGCCTTACCTAGGCTGGACCTGGTGTTGGAGCGCTCGATGATCGCCCTCTTGCTGGGGTTATTGAGCACAGACCTCTTGGCCAGGGAGATGTCAGCTGTCACTCTGGTTATGGATATCCTGGGAGCAGAGCACAGCACACACAGACACACCAGTGGCATCTCCAGCCACAGCCCATTCCAAAGGGCAAACACAATCAAACATGCTTCCAGACGAGTTATGGCACCGCTAAAGAACAACTGGAGAGAAGTGCTGGGTACCTGGGAAGTATTTCCTATTCCCTGAGCTCTGGGATGGAGTTCCTGCTATTCTCCTTAGTGCATTAATTAACTTTTCTCCTCCCAGCTCACCCATCTCCTGCATTAATTTCCACAGTGCCATAAATGCTGTGAGTTCTGTGAGGTTTGGGGCACTCAACAAGGGAGCTGCAATGTACCAGCACTTCCCTTACCCTCAGAGTTACACCAGGAGTAAACCTGGAGTAAACAGCTGCCAGGGAGCTGTGCCAGGGGCTGGGATGAGCAGGAGAAAAGGAAGTGGAGCTGCCTGAACTCATGTTTAACTTCACTTCACCTCTTTAACTTAAGGCAGGTGATTTATTGACTTCATCTGTCAGTGAGTTAGAACGACACAAGGTGTTACAAAGCAAAGACCACACAATCCTTCCATATAAAATCCATTTAGGGGGCTTGGACTGAGCCAAGGAGCCAGAAAAAATGAAAAGAAATCAAGCTGGGAATGAGCAGCAGCTTTTGCACATAACCTAAGATTTATGCAGCTCTAAGTGACGTTTTTCCAGCTGCAGGGTTAAAAAGAAGTGCAGTTATTTTTCTGCATAATACATAAATAAATGCATTGCCAGAAAATACAGTAGAGGCCAAAAGTAAAAATGAGTTTAAAATAGAAATGAATGGATTGTGGGGTCTCTGGCTCACTGGCCAGCAGGGGAGGTTGCAGTTGCAAAGGAAGGAGCTGGCAAAGCCAAGGGAATTCAGAGGCAGGGAAGCAGTCAGGTCTTGCTGAAGCCTTTGGAAAGGCTCTTCCTTGGACACTCAGCCCCTTTCTTGGTAACGTGGACCTCTCCCAAAACTGCACAAGAGATGGAAAGAAAGAAGGAAAGAAAGAAAGAAAAAAGAAAAGGGAGGGAGGATAAAGACCATGAAGCCATAGAAGTTGGCAGAAGGAGCAAGAAGCAGCTTTTTCCTGAGTTCCTCAGAGCTAAAATCAATGGTCTCGGGCTGCTGGTGGCACTGAGCTCTCCACTGCTGAAATTTCATACTCCCACCTGATCCAGCTGCCAATGGAATTAGGATTTCCAGAAAATCACTTGAGCTGAGCAGCTCAGAACAGGCCAGGAGAGGAGATGCTTTGCACAGAAGTTGATCATTAAATGTTCTCTCTGAGCTGTTTAGGGATCAGTTCAGCACTGCCACCTCCTCACTCCTAAAATCCACAAATCCCTCTCCAGCTCTTCTACAGAACATCATTTCTCCTGCCCTGGTGCCCATGCTTTGGGTATTCCAAACCTGACTTAGTGTTTTGTATCACCAGAACAGCTTCTTTTCCCAGCTGGAATATCCTGAACTAACTGGGAAGGGCAGAACATCCCAAAGATGCAGCAGACACCTGCAGGGACTGAGGTGATGCCATGGACCAAACCTGTGCTCCTAGCAAGGAAATACAAATTATCCTCTCCAGCTCACCAGGAAATGCTCCAGGTGAAGATAAGCTTTCCTTACAATTCCTTTTCTGTGCTTTATTTCTCAGCATTTCCTTCCTCCAACCACCCTTTTCAGTACTTTTGCCTGCTTAAGGCAGTCAAAATCTTATATAAGGAATATTTTAGAGCTGATTTTTCTTAGGTGTTGGGAAGACACTGAGATGGAATTCTTGTTTTAGTTAAGAAATCCTAGCCCAGCCATGGCAGAAATGCAGACATGTGCACCTCTAGTAACACATGAGCTGTGTCCCACTCTTCAGTAGTGACACAAAGCCAGAAAATCAGCTTTGATCATGCAGTAAAGCCTCTGGCATTAAAAAAAAATAAAGTAATTCACTGAAATGTTAGTAACACATGGGCAAAGCAGCATGAGAAGGACAGAGTTTCTCACCTCCCATCAAACCTGTGCTTCAGGAAGTCAAAGAGAGCTTTCTGCATCATGTCTGTCACCTTGGCAGAGGGGAGAAGATTGAGCAGGGGATGGACAGGGAGAGAAAGAAGCCAAAAGGAAGGAAAGAGGTGAGTAGAAGGCAGGGATACAGCCAACAATCAACACCCCTGATGGGCAGAGCCATCCCAGTGCCACGCTCCTGCCACAGCGCTCAGGAATAAATCCATGGAAACTTCCTGACCACTGCTCCAAGTGCAGGGCTGACACTGTGTGTGCTCCTGTCCTGAGCTGCACTGGGCATTCCTCACCCCCTGCCCCATCCAGCACCATTCCCAAAGCTTCACAGCACGGCACAACCACAGGGGATGTGTGTCAGACACACCTGGGGCTTTTCCTGCACAACCTTGTTAGAGAGGGCTCCAAGCTTCAGGGATGAGGGGACTGCTCTCAGAGAGGGATAACAGCAAAAAAAAGGGATCTTCCCACTGCTGGACATGGAGCACATCTGAGATGCTCAGCCCCGAGAGCTGTCATCTCTGCCATCTGATTTATTGAGCAGCTCCTTGTCCTTTCCAGGACAACTCAGGCTGACAATTATTATCTGCCAGGCCAGACAGCAGCTTCATCAAAGCCCCCAGGCCTCTCTGCCAGTTTATTTCTCTCCTTCCAACTGATTCCTTCAGCATTTAGCCAGAAAAAAACCAGGCAAAATAATTTCCCCCAAGTAAGAGGAATAGCTTTTGTTATTGAAATTAATATTGTGTGTTAGCATCTCCACACATTTGCATGTTCAAGGTGTTGTGTTCAGTGCTGTTTTCTTTAAGAAAGAGACAGGGTGGCAGATTTGAAGAGGTTTTTATGAGCAAACAACCTCTCTCTCCCCTCCAAACTCGAGAGGTAAATTGATCTGTGCTGCAGCACACGGGGAATTTACTCCTGTCAAAAAACTTCCCCATCAAATTAAAAGGCAGAGAGCAGAACATGAAGTGCCTGCTCTGCTGAGCTGCACCTTCAGTCACTCACAGAAAAACAATGCCAGAACACTGCATTATGCCAAGGCTCTCACCTCCCCTAAAGAACCATTCCAGTATGTTTAATATTATCTTATAAATTACTGACATCATTAATGAAGCTTAATGAAGTGTACCCTTGATTTTATGTTCATTTAGTTCCTGGTTCAGCACTTCCCAGATGGTTGAGCTCCCTAAACTGCCCTGCTAGAAGTCTTCAGCACGTGGTAAATGCTCACTTGAACCTCCAGCAGCCTAAAAAAGGCTGTCCTGGTTATCTGGGCATGTTTTCCTGCCCACTTCCACCTGGGGAATCTTTTAGGAAGGTTAAAGGTTTCTTTGAAAAATATTTGAATTTATTAATAAAAAGGAGAACAACAAGGAAGCTCCTTCACATGTTTTTCTAATTAAGTTCAAAGCAGGGGCTGGTTTGATGAACATTTTTCATGTGTAGAGCCCAGCTCGTTAATTTGATTGCTTGTAGCAGACACAAATTCTCTTTTTTACTTGATTTAATCAGGAATGAGTGCACTGAAAAGAATGGATTTGTACTATGCATAAAACAGTACAAGTCTGAAGTAACTCTTAGCTCTTACAGAACATTCAGGTAATTATTTCAGCTAAATCACTTGAAATTATCAAGTTGCACTGAGCCACACCTGGAATTACTGAGGATGATTAGAGATAAGAAAAGCTGAATTAATTGCAAACCCCTCAGTCCATACCTCATAGCCTTTGAGTGAGGGGCCCACCAACACCACAGGTCTCATTGATGGCACTACATCATAAGGGGGAATATGTTCTGTCTGGAGGGGAAAAAACAACCCTTCAGATCACCAGGCAAACAACACCCACAGGGAAATCCTGGGAATTATCAATTAGAAGGGAATATGATGGAAACAAAAGCTTTACTTACCACTTTTTGTTTCTGTTTTGCTAGAAGACCAAATGAGAACTTGGTTAAAACACAGCCAGGCAACCAGAAATCCCTTTGCCAAAGCACTTTGATTTCTCCCTGTGCACCTCCCTCGGCTCAGGCCTGACCAAACTGGGAAATCTGTGCAGTAAACTGGGTGATCTGTGCATTAAACTGGGTATTCTGTGCATTAAACTGGGCATTCTACACATTAAACTGGGCAACCTGTGCATTTAACTGGGTATTTTGTGCATTAAACTGGGAAATCTGTGCAGTAAACTGGGTGATCTGTGCATTAAACTGGGCATTCTGCATTAAACTGGGCAATATGTGCATTAAACTGGGAAATCTGTGCAGTAAACTGAGCAATGTGCACTAAACTGGACATTCTATGCATTAAACTCAGTGATGGGTACATTGAACTGGGCAATCTGTGCATTAAACTGGGAAATCTGTGCAGTAAACTGAGCAATGTGCACTAAACTGGACATTCTATGCATTAAACTCAGTGATGGGTACATTGAACTGGGCAATCTGTGCATTAAACTGGGAAATCTGTGCATTAAACTGGGTGATGGGTACATTAAGCTGGGTATTCTATGCATTAAACTGGGAATTCTGACCATTAAACTGGGCATTCTGGGCAGCTGCCACTGTTCCCAGGTTATTTCCCAGCCCTCAGCAGCTCCTGCATGGTTGGAAATCGATGTCCTCCTCCCCTGGGCGTGCCAACATTTTGCTGGAAAACACCTCAGTAACTCAGCAAAGGGGAAAAGCTGCACTTCTCATGTAGGGTTTTTAACCAGAATTATTAGCAAGGGTTTCCTTAAATAAATCCTGGCTTACCTGTGGCTGTAGGTGTGGCTCGAAATGTGCCAGAAACCATCTCTCCAAGGCTTGAGGAAGAATTCCCACTGGATTTCCTACAGCAGCAGAAAGAGCCCCATGAACAGCAGGAACCCCAAAATGTGGGAGGTTTTGGGGAGGAATTGTCCCACGAGGAGTCACAAGATCATACTAACATAAATTAACTAATTAACAAAGCTAAAAATTAACTGTTTTATCATTATAATATGGAATTTTATCATCCAAATCCAGGAGCATCTCATTGAACTCAGTAATTTCTCTGAATATTGAGACCCCCCTGGCTGCCTCTGAAGTTGTGTCAAAAATTATAGAAGAAATTTGGATGTTGTTCAACCATTCTGAAAGCATTTCCCAGGTTTATCTCCCAGACCTTTTCCCAGGGGTTTCCAATCTCCAGGTCTGGCAGGGTGGAGACTCAAAAACCTCAGGCTGGAAGATGAAGAATAAAGGCTGGGAAAGCTGATCTCACAAAGTTTGACAAGTCTGGTTTGGGCCAAAATGGAGAGAAAAGAAAAAAAGGAAGGAGAAAAACCCCACAACCTAAGAAAAGCTGAGAAAAATCCAGGAGACTGTGAGCACCAAGTTTACCTAAGGCCACGGGCACACAGAACTCTCAGAAATTCCTGTCATTATCCCTCACTGCTCTTTCCTACAGCCAAATACATTTTTTTGTTTCTCATCACCAACATCTCCCACTCCCGCTCTCCTCAAATCCATCCTTCCACTGGGAATCCCAAATCCAACACTGCAAATTCCCTGCAATAAAGCAGCAGCAGGTGACCTTTGGAAATGTTGCCCTGTGTGAGGAAGGATTTGAAGCGATTTGCAAAGGTCAGGGCACTCTCACCCTCCGTGGAAGCGGCCCCTCTTCTGCTCCTGCTGGATGCGGATGTTCTCCAGGCGCAGCGGGCTGGGGATGAAGCCGATCTCGCAGCCCTCCTTCACCAGTCTCCCTATCCACCAGTCATTGTTGTATTTCTGCAACACAGGAAAGGTTCCTGGCTACTCCAGCTCAACAATTCCCTCCCTTTGTTATGCACACTCCTGAGCTCCTCGCTGGGTAACAAACCAGGCTCACCCCGGTGTGTGACACCAGAGCACCGAGGCTGTTTCCCCTCGTTCTGGCCCTTGCTGATTTAATTTCAAGGTTGATTTTTAATGAGCAGAACCCGTTTTTTGGAGCTGAGGCCACCAAACAACCTCCCAGCAGCAAACATAAAATAACACCTTCAGCTTCCCATCAAATACTGCTTGTCATATTTAATGGTCTAGACTAAAGATCACCACTTTCCCTTCCTCCTTTTCAGGTATTTGTAGGGATGTTATTAACAGGTTATGACAGATTAAGACAAATCCACCTTAAGGAAGAAACTTTAATATATACCTAAAGCATAGCATTTTATCATTGACCTTTAGTAACATATATTTTTCTGCTTTAGTCAAAGTCTGGTCTGTCCCTAATGATGGCAAGATGAAAAGCAGGATCCTGGTGGATACTGGAGTGGAAAAGGATTTGTTGTAGCTGCTGCCAGCAGAGCTTTTGAAGAAAAGTATCTGAAAAGCCTCTCCTCTGTTCTGCTTCATTAGGCAGCTCAGTGTTCAAAAGAAACATTGCTTTTCACAACTGGCTCTGGAGTCATTAAGAGCAGCACGAGTGAATGGGTTTTGTTTGCCTGCCTCGAGGAAAAAGCCATCACAGAGATCTCATCTTCAAGATCATCCCTGCTCCTGGCTCCACATTTGCAGGCACTTCAGTTCCTGCAGGAACACAGAAACGCTGTCAAAGGTGCAGCAGGGCCTGGTGATGACTGAAACACAGAGATGCAGCACTGAAAAATAAATGGGTTTTTATCAACCCAGATATTTGAACACTAACACAATCATAAATATCAACATATAATAAAAACTAAGGGAATGCAATCCTCATCCCCTGAAAAACCTCTTTATCCTCTTTTATATATTTAGGCAAGAGGTTCCATTGTTTTATCATTCCAACTAAGTATTTATTCCTCCTGCTGTTCTGACCTTGATTCAGACAGTGGCAGGGAGCAAGCAAAGCTTATTTTGAAGGATGTTGAATTACAGAACTACTTCCAGTCTGTGAACTGGAGAAATCCTTCAGGATTCAACATCCTGCTGCTGTAAATCAGTGAACTGAGAGGTTGTGGAGTGCCCATCCCTGGAAGTGTCCAAGGCCAGGCTGGAGCAGGCTTGGAGCAGCCTGGGACAGTGGGAGGTGTCCCTGCCCAACCAAACCAGTCTGACTCTACAAAACCAATCCCTGCAACACCTGAGTTCCAAGTTGTTGGAACTCCTGCTCCATTTTGGCCCTGAAGGTACAGCCTGACCATGGGAATCTTTCTTCATGGACCTCAGAGCGAGGCCTCTAGACATGGGATCAGAATCAGCCCCTTTGGGACAAAGGACGGAGGGATGGGACACAGGGAATGGCTCCCCCCTGCCAGAGGGCAGGGAGAGATGGGATTCTGGGAAGGAATTCCTGGCTGGCCCTGGCACAGGGTGCCCAGAGAAGCTGTGGCTGCCCCTGAATCCCTGGAAGTGTCCAAGGCCAGCCTGGACAGGGCTTGGAGCAGCCTGGGATGGTGGAAATGTCCTGCCCATTTAAGGCCCCTTCCATCCCAAAGCAGTCTGGGTTATGCTGAGAGCATCTGAACACACAAATGCCAAGGCTGCAGTGAGGAACACAGGATTTATCTGCATTAGGTCATTCCCTCCCCTCTGTCACTCTGTGTGTGGGAGGATCCCGTGGTTGCCATGCCCATGATTCCTTCTGCTCTGTCAGGAATTGTTGCCATTTCATCCTTTAAGCAAGCACACAATGTATAGTTTGGAGGAGACAGATGAGACATACAGGGCACATCCTCAAAATAGCAGCTCCTCACTCACTGCCTCTGCTCCATCCTGCCAGAGGGTGACCTGGCTCTGTACCCAGCTCTGCAACGTTCCAAAACCTGGAACCATTGTTCTGGTCCAGATCACTGGAAAACAAATCCTGCAAAGCCTTTTTGCAGCGTGGGGAACCGTTCCCCAAATCCTACTGAGTTCCAGCTCCGGGCAGGCTGAGCTGACAAACACCAGTAAACCAGATGGTTTACAGCTTAGTGACTGTGTGATCCCGGGTTTTTAGACCTTGGAAGACAACTCATGGAATGCCAAGACATGGATTTGGGACACTTGTCTGGAAGAATGTACAGGGCAGCATGACAGGAGCTTGCAACTCAGTCAGTGCCCTGACAATAAGGGTGGGCACGTCCAGGAAAACCAAGATTATAAACTGGAAAAAAAGGGAATTTACTGCCTTTCTCTCTCAGGGAGGGGGGATGTGAAGCAATTCCCTGTTCCAGCACCAGAGGAGGGGCAGCAGCAGGTGTTTTCCTCCTGAATGTGCTCTGTCTAAGGGAGATCAGTGCTCGGGAGTGATGATGAACACGTGTTCAAAGAAAGACACAGATGAGCACTGAACACCCCAAAATAAACCCAAAATGCAGAGATGAAAAAGTGCTTTTGCAAGCTGCAAGCCTCTGTACCAATCCATAGCACAACAGGGGGTTATGCAAATGTGGAGGGCTCACTTCAGATAAAAAATTGCAGAAAATATGCTCAGCATGCAATAAAATGCAATTTTCTCTACCAAAGCCATACTCAGGGCTCATTTATTCCCATTTTTTTTCCCTTATTTTTGCATCTGTCCTCTTCAGGATTTTCTTTGCTTACTGTATTACCCTAAGTGTTACTTCCTCTCTGGAAGGGAGCCTATCTGGGGTTTTTTTTGAAGACCTGGTGTGACCTGGTGCTGCTCCACGGAATCCCCTTCTCCTGGACCATCTCTGACCCATCACAAACTTGTTCTGATGAAAAGAATCTGAACCCACCACTTTAAAGGGCATTATTTCCTTCCTTTGTGATGAAATTCCAACATGTTGGTAACACCAAGTGTTCTGAAAGGGCAGGATAAGCACCCCAGGGTGCAGAACCACCTCATCCTCATTGTGCCCTCCTGCCTCCTCTCAGCACTCCTGGATATGGCTCAGTTGTTCAAATCAAAGCCTTTGGCCTGTAAAAAGATTCCCTTCTCCTTGGTTTTACCTCTTTAATGTGGAGGAAGTCCTTGGCATCGAAGGAGATGGCAGTGCTTGGGACAGGAACATCTTCATCCAGAGCCCCACAGTAACTCACGTTGGTCTTGACAGCAAATGCTACTGGTTTGGACTACAAACAGAAAAAAAAACACATCAAAAACACTGGGAACTTTTCATCCAAAAAAAAATTCAGCCCTAATAATTTCCCCCAGGCCAGCAGAGTTCAGCTCCCTGGAGAATATCCCCATTTAGAGGAGAATATTTACACTAAACTCCCCAAACATCTTCTCTGCAGATACTTTGACTCAGTATTTCAAAAGAAAGAGTGAATTTTACCAGCAGGCAGAAGGTAACTGGCACATGACTCAGGGAAGAGAACACACCTTGGCCCTCTCAAGCTGGATGGCTGCTTGCTGCTCCCTTTCCTGGCGGATTGCTTCCCTGTCCTCTTCCAAAGAGACATCAGAGTCTGAGGGTCTGCTCGTGTACGAATCTGCTGAGCCCTGAAAGGAAATCCAGGTCACTAAGAAAACACAGGTAAAGAACAGAAACCCCCTCCTCCAACACTTTTAAAATACTTATTTTCCTTTTTTTTTTTTTGTTTGAGTGAGTTTTCCAAAGACAAAAAATCTCCTTCACTTTCTTACTGACACAGTGAAATCCAGCTCAGCTGTGGGCACTGTCCAAAAGTCTTTATCAGTCATATCCTGTTTGACAGCCTCAGACTTGGGATTGTCAAGGGTTAGGTCACATCAAATATAATTAAGGAATTATAAACCTTGGTTTGAATCATCCCTCCCCATGAATACACTCCATTGTGTAAGGGCGCTGTTCTCACTCACACAGAGCTTTGTTCTGGGCTTCCAGGGGGGAAAAAGTGGCAAAAATGACATTATTAAAGCTGCTCAATAGCTCCGTATCGATATGACACAAAACCAACACATTCAGGCAGCAGCAGCAGAGAGCAGCAGCCTGTCAGGAAGGAAAGGTGTTGCCACTGTTGGGATTTTTTGTCATTTTTTTGATATTTTCCATTATCTGGCAACCCCTGAAGAGCAGGGTGGTTCCTCTCTTTGTAGAGACCAGAGATGACTCCAGCATCCCACACACCTGATCTTTGTGTGTGGGGCCAGTGGAAAAACAGGGCTTTAACCTTGCAAAACAGGGAATGGTAAACATCAGGAGTAAATCCTGATCAATCTGTGGCTCTGTGTGTTCCAACAGAGCCACTCTACAGCATCATATCCTTGTTATTATCCTTTTTCCTTACACAGATTTATATCCTGCAGCACAGGCACTGTCAGTATTCTTACTATCCATGGAAAGTCACATATTCTTAAATATTGCTGTGAATACATGGCCATTGCTGTGGATCCCCGTCCACTGCTGTGGATCCATGGCCATCCCTGTGGATCCATGGCCATCCCTGTGGATCCATGGCCATCCCTGTGGATCCTTGGCCATCCCTGTGGATCCATGGCCATCCCTGTGGATCCCTGTGAATCCACATCCATCAGAAGACTTCTGGCTAAGAACCACGGATGAGCCTGTGCTCTTTCCTTGTTCCATACTCAGATCAGATTTCCTCCAGGCCACAAATGGGATTTGCCAACAGGAGCTTCACCCCCAGCTGTGATTTTAAACACACCAGAAGATTCCTTCCAGGACATCCCACACTCAGGGAGAGCAGGGAAGGGCTGGGAAGACACAGGAGTTCAGGGTCCTGAGCTGGAACAAGTGGAGCATCCCCAGGCTGAACACTGGCATTAGGTGTTGGCAGCAGCTCAGCTTTTCCCAGCTGGGAAGCTGCACATCCTGCTCTTCCTTCTGCTTCCTTCGGGATGTAGCAGAGACCAGGGAACTCTGCAGCCACAGCGCCTGGCCAGGCCTCACACAGACACCTCTGATGGCCTGAGCGCCCTTTCCATGGGGAAATTCCTGCTGCTGTCCCCCCTGAGCTGCCCTGGCCCAGCCTGAGGCCGTTCCCTCTCCTCCTGTCCCTGTTCCCTGCCAGCAGAGCCCGACCCCCCCGGCTGTCCCCTCCTGCCAGGGAATTCCAGAGAGGGAAAAGATCCCTCGGGATCCTCCTTTGCTCCAGCCTGAGCCCCTTCCCAGCTCCCTCAGCAATTCTCCAGCCCTTTCCCAGCTCCCTCAGCAATTCTCCAGCCCCTTCCCAGCTCCCTCAGCAATTCTCCAGCCCCTTCCCAGCTCCCTCAGGAATTCTCCAGCCCCTCAGTGTCCCTCCTGTCCCAGAGCTGTTCCCAGCACGGGAGCTGCCCCAGCAGTGCCAGCTCAGGGACCGGCTCAGCTCTTGCCCACTTGAGCACCCCTGGGCCACTGCTGGTTGTTTATTCATATATATACATATTATTTTATGTAGCTCAGCGAGGGAACTGGACAGGAGCAGAGCCCATACTGGTTTTTACTGGTGTGTGTTTGAACAGTGACTTATTTACTGCTGTCAGAAGCAGCCTCAGGCAGAGCAGCTGACGCTGCCAGGCCACCCCCGGCTGCTCTGCCAGGCTGAGCAGTGCCTGTGTGCCAAGTGAGAGGGATTGGTACAATCACATCCGCATGATCCCGGCTCTCCCAAGTTGTTCCAAACAGAGAGTGGCTTATCTGGAAGATGCAGCCCCAGGACTGTGACTCACATGGTGCTGAGCTGCAGCATCACATTGAAAACCAGGCACCGTTCTGCAAATAGCAGCAAGAGGGGCAGAAAAGGAGCCAAACTTGTATTGAATTTTGGGTCCTGTTTGAAATGTTTGATTGAAGATCAGAATTATTGCCAGAAATATTGTGGGATATTGACAGAATATTGCCCAACAATCCAACACAAACACTGCTGTCTGCTCAGCACCAAGTGCAGCGAGTTCTGCTCTGACAGCTCCTACTTGCTGAAACTGCAATAGGCAATGAGAGGGAAAAAAAAAAAACAAACAACCATTTCCCATCTTTTTTTGTACACCAAGGGGTTCCTAAAGGAAGAATTTCTTAATGGAAATTGTGGTCAGACACTGGAAAGGGCTACCCAAGGAATGGTGGAGTCTCCATCCCCAGAGGTGTCCAGGGAAGGACTGGACGTGGCACTCAGTGCTCTGGGCTGGTGACAAGGGGAGGGTTTGGACACAGCCTGGACTCGATCTTGGAGGGCTTTTCCAACGTTGGTGATTCTGGGATTCTGTAAAAAGACCCTGTAACTGCTTTATTTTCACATTGCTTAGAGCAGCAGCTGGGTCACTTGGGGATATCACCTGTGCCCACAGTTTTACACATAATATTTGAGGACCAATTATCAATCCCACCCTTACCTGACCCAAATCCCATGACCCTCTGGGAGACAGAGGAACTTCGTCAAGTGGGGATTTAATGCGTTCAAGTGACACCAGATTTGGCAATTTGAAAGAAACAGGCTTTTCTAGATAATTACATTATTCAAGGCAATGAAAGACTCACTGCTTACTTCACAGCCTTTATACTTTGGGTTCCTGTGAATCCATTTTTTTGTGCAATTTATTAATTATTTTCTCCCTCTCTCATCAACTAACGTAATTCAGCTTAGCAAAAAAACATGGAGGTTTGAAACAATCCCAAAAACACCAGGGAGAAGGGTAAAGCAGAAAGAACAGTGGGTCTGTTTATTTTTATTCTCCTGCTCACTGACTGGTCTTACACGAGGCTGACGGACAGGGTGGAAATGGGAACATTTTAGGGAGGAAGAGGTGACATGAATCCTCTTCCTGGACACTACAACATCCAGCCTTTGTGTTCACTGAAGGAATAATCAACCTTTAGCTGTTACAGCTAAAAAAATAAAGACTTACTGAGCTTGCAAATCATTTTTCCCCAAGCGCCATAAATCCACAGCTCCGGATTGCTGTCCCTCCATCCCTAAGGAATGCTCTGTCACACTGCTCGTGCAATTAAAGCAGCGATCCATTAGCAGCTCCAATCAGCCAGATGACAGGCAGCCTCTCCTGAAAAGATTTAGGGTGCTGTGGGGTCTATCCCAACCTGGAGAGCCTTTGGGAAAACATCCCTGCTCACAAAGAGCTCCTGCCTTCTCCATGAGGCCAGCCTTACTGCAGGGGGATGCATTCCTGCATCCTGGGATGTGCAGGCACGCAGGGAGAGCTGTGCAGGGAGAGCTCTGTGCTCAGACACTCTCCTGTGCTCAGCTGGGAAATGAGAGATGTCAGTGCAGGAGCACAGAGCTCACTCTGCACCCACAGCGCTGGCAGGTCACACAGCGCTCCTCCAGGCAGCCAATTCTTGGGAATGCTGGAGATGGAATAACATCCGAGCTGGGGACAGCATGGAATGGAAAAAAAAACAGGGAAAAAAACCCCTCCTGTCCCACCCTCTTCCCCTGTGCTCCTCTTCTTCCCCAGCACCAATCCCACCTGGCACCTCCCAGCTTCCCCACAGGTCTTCGGACACTCAAGGCATTCTCATCCTGCAAGACACAGGAAGCCAAATTCCCAAAGATCCCAAAGATCCTGTCCTGATGCCGAACTCTGAGATTACCCAGCAGACCACACAGCTGAACCAGAGGTCACTTCAATGCTTTTAAATTGGCCAGGAGCTCAACTAAAATATTTTAGCAGACATGGAATCATGGAATCCCAGACTGGTTTGGGTTGAAGGGACTTCACAGCTAATCTCGTTCCAGGCCAAGACACCTTCCACAAGCCCAGGTTGCTCCAAGCCCTGTCCAAGCTGGCCTTGGGCACTTCCAGGGATCCAGAGGCATCCACAGCTTTCCTGGGAAACGTGTGCCAGAGCCTCATCCCCTTCCTAGAAAACAATTTTTTCCAATATCCCATCCATCGCTGCCCTCTGGCACTGGGAGCCATTCCCTGGGTCCTGTCCCTCCATCCCTTGTCCCCAGTCCCTCTCCAGCTCTCCTGGAGCCCCTTCAGGCCCTGCAAAGAGCTCTGAGGTCCCTCCAGAGCCTTCTCTTCCTCAGGCTGAGCACGCCCAGCTCTCCCAGCCTTTTCACTGGCAGGAAGCTTCATCAGCCCATCCTCCCTTTCCCCCAAGGCAAATTCATCCCAAACTGGAGCCTCCACTCGAAAAAAGCCCAAGTGTCCTCAGCCCTCTGCAAGTTCCCAGGGGAATCGAGGCCACATCCCTCCCTGACGAGTTCCCAGAGACCTGACAGAGCTCCTGACACAGCACAAGGAGAACAAACAGGCACAGGGATGGCTGCAGGGCCATATGCTGCCATATGCCACCCATGTTCCAGAAATCACTTCAAAAACCCCACAAAACTCACAGGAGAGTTATTCCTTGGGGAAGCAGCTCACTCCAAGCCCCAACACAAAGATCTCCGCAGTCCAGGTGCACAAGAGCAGGTTTAACTCACAGGTTACTACTAGAATTATGTCATGGAGATGGGGGTCACAGAAAATAAGTATTAACTCATTTTTACATGAAAACAAGAACCAGAAGTTGAGGATTTAAGAAACACCCATGTTTTAAATACCAGTGGCCACCACAGTTGCTGCTCATCTCATCCCAGCACTCAGGGTGGGCAGCTAAATTTAATTACTGGGCAGGTGATGTAATTAATTAAAAAGCAAATACAAAACAGTGGGGATCTCTTCCTTTGGCGTGAAAACCTTGCTGTGCTGCAATGGAAACCGGGGCCAGGAAAATCTGTGTGTGCCCAGGAAAATACTGCAGAGTACTAGCCCAGACTGGAGGGAGAATTCCATGGGAGGAGCAGCAGGGAAAGCAAAGTTATTCCCATGTGGAAAGGGGTGGAGAGATCACACAGCCCCTGCTTTGCTTTAATATCCTCTGGAATTAGTAACATCCCCCTCGAATTACAACATCCATTCCAGCTCCTGCAATGTTAAAAATATGGAAATCCAGGAGGAAAAAGAGGTTCAGTGGGACTTCTGCACGAATTCCCATGCGGATGTGGCACTGGAAGTCCAACCAGGACAAGGTTCAGCTCCCAAGCAAATGATTTTCTTGCTGAATCTTCCCAACACACACGAGGCAGCTGCACAACCGCTTGGCATTGAGTTGTGATTTCAGAATCAAATGCTCAGCAATTATTTCCTTCTATATGTTTGGTAAATTTATTTAAAACAACTCATTAGGTGTCTCAGCAATTTGGAAATTACTAGGTAGTTAGAACATGTTTTTTCTTTGGGAATACTAATTGTTAGAAAATAGGGCAATTCTTCCAACATTTCCTGATCTCTTTTTTTTTCCCCCTGGATTTCAAATCTTGCAGTCTATCTCCTTTCTCCAGCTGCCTTCAGTTCGGCACAGATTGTGTTGCTACATTTAAGAAATGGAGTTTAAAAAAATACTGGTAATATATATCTCTATTTACTGCCAAAATACTCCCATCTCTTTTGGTAATGTTCAAATGAACATGCAAGGCACAAGGTTTTGCTTAGCTGGCATTGCAGGTACCCACAAAGCCTGAGGTAGTGGTTAGAGAATAGATGAGCTGCTCTGAACATTTCCTTTTTCACAGGTTAAAAATTCAGATCTTCCTCCACAAAATAACACCCAAAGCACACTTTTCCCACAGGCTCGGAGCCAAGGGGAAGGTGAGGATCACAGCCACAGGGATGGCTACAGGCTCAGGTGGTTTTCACCCAACAAAATGTTCAAAATTTGAACACACAAACCTTTCAAATTCCATATTTTTGTTCAGCCATAAAGCAGCAAAGATCTGCCTGAGAATGCTCTGATCTGTGCTTTGTTCCAAATGCAGGTTGTGAGACCTGGGACTGAATCAACACCTGAACACCTCAAGCCTGAATTTTGCTTCACTCTCTGCAGCTGGTCTCTCTTTTTCAGGAGAGCTATTCAGCAGTCCCAGGAGAGAAAAAAAAGGTGCTATTTTTCCATGATAAAAGGCACCAAACTAAAGCTGCAACGGCACAGAGACACTGCTTTATTTTTTCTAATTACTTCAGCTCTTGAAAGCACTGAATGATCTTCCCAAGGCTCTGGGGAAGCTGCTGCTGCTGGGTTTGATGAAACCTGATAATAAAAGTGCACCTGGTATCCGAAATGAGCTCTGCTGTGAGGAGGATGCTCTGTGTCTGTCCCACATAACATGCTGGGAAGTCAAGAATGTTCCATAAGTCTCCAGAAAAAAAAAAATAAATTACAAATACTGCCCCCAAACTAAACTTAATCATCCTCCCAACTACACAGGCATCTGTGGCTGCCATATGTGGTCTGCCACAGCATTCCCTCAGACATGCAGGCTTCAGCCAGGAAGTGCTGGAATAACGTGGTGTATTCCTAAACCACCCTCCAATCATCCTCCTGTGCTGCCTGCCATGGAGAGTTCCTGCTGACAGGGGTGGATCATTTCTTAAAAAATAAAAATAAAAATCACACCTCCATCTAGTTCCTTGTTACTGCAACAGGGATATTTAAGTTGGGATCTGCAAGGGGATGAGCTCCCATTTCTCCTCTTGCTTCGCTCTGTTCCAGTTTATCTCCATTTCCCTTTTGGTTTCATGCTTGCTTTGCTCTCCCTGGGGCTCTCCTGGCACCAGGTCACCTTTGGGAGCAGCAGGCTGACCTGTGCCAAGGGCCTGCTCATGTTCTGGCCTGGCACCGCTCTCAGACACCACAGAATCCCAAAATCCCAGCCTGGTTTGGGTTGGGAGGGACTTAAATCCCATCCAGTGCCACCCCTGGATGGGCAGGGACACCTCCCACTCTCCCAGGCTGGCCTTGGGCACTGCCAGGATCCAGGGACAGCCACAGCTGCTCTGGGAATTCCAGCCCAGCCAGGAATTCCTTCCCAATATCCCATCCATCCCCAAGCCATTCCCTGTGTCCTGTCCCTCCATCCCTCATCCCCAGTCCCTCTCCCTCACTTTTATGATCCCTGGAAGGACACAGAGAGGTGTCCCCAAATCCTTCCCCTCTCCAGGCTGAACAAAGGAAAAAAATTCAGTTTATTTTCCTGGGGGAGTGTTCAACAGCACCCATTCAATCATTAGCTGAAATGATTTTTCAACTTCCCAACAAATAAAACCAGTCCATCTCTTTCAAACACACTCAGGATACTTCAGTCCCCAAAGCAGGGATGTGCAGCACAAAAACCTTCAGGGTATTCTACGTGTGAGGAATGAAGTGGAATTTTCCTCACTGTTGAGAAGATCCTTGCCACCTGTCTGCTTTCACTGCATGCTCTTCCTAATTCCAACAGCTAATTTAAAGAATATACATCTTTTTTTAAGGATTTTGATGATTACAGTGTCCTGATTTTCTTCTAGAGTGGTGTCACCACTTCCCACACCATCAGGCTTTACACAACCAAAATAACCCTGAAT